ATAATCATATTCATTGTGTCTCAAAAGTCGAAGCTTGCATCAAGTAAAATTTGAGCTCTTTTTTTCCTCGAGCCACTAGCAAGGAGCCTTTAGCCAGCTTCCACCGCTCTTCACTAAAGGTGTTACAAAATTCCTCATCATCAAGTTTTCCTGCAGAAATCAAATTCAAATGGATATATGGTGCATGTTTGATATCCTTGAGAGTTAAATTTGTTCCATTATTACTCACCAAGCTAACATCTCTCATACCAATAACCAGAACCAAACTGTTACCACCTATCTTCAATACCCCCAAATCATCAATAGTATAAGATGAGAAGAAATCCCTCCTCGATGTAACATGAAGTGAAACACCAATATCAATCACCCAACTAGTCTCATCGCATGCTAAGTTGACCAAATTCTCATCACAAATAACCAACAAATCATCACGACCAACAACAACACGTTCAGATTTTTCATCATCATTTCGATCATGTTTGTCACCACCACCTTTGTTCTCTCTCTTCCACTTGAAACAATATTTCTTGATATGACATTTCTTACCACAATGATGGCACTGAAGATTCTTGTATCTTGATCTTGACTTGCTTTGGCTTTTCTCTCTACCATTTTTATCCTTGTCTCTATTTCTCTCATTGTTCTTGATAACCAATACCTTGGACTGTGATGTAGAACCCTGAAATCTTCTTCTAACCTCTTCATTGAACATAAAACTTTTAGCCAAATCCAAAGTAATAATACCATGTAGAGTAGAATTAATGAGCGAGACCCGAAAAGTATCACAAGAGACTGGTAGAGTAACAAGCAACAAAAGCCCTAAAATCTTATAATCAAATTTGACACCCATACCAAACAACTGATTCATCATACTCTAAAACTCACTAACATGGTCAGCTATAGACGTTCATTCTTTGTATTTCAACGCCATCATTTTCTTCAGCAAAAATAACTTGTTATCGTATGACCTTGAAGCATACAAGCTTTCAAGCTTCTCCCAAAATGTGCGAGCATGTGTCTCTTGATCAATTTAGTTATAGACATTCTCTTCAAAAAAATTGCTGAGTAAAGTCAAGAACTTGTTGATGCTCAAATTTCTATTTTTCATCACTTTTCGAATCAGGTTTTTAAGTAGCAAAGATTGGAATGTGCAAAGCCTTCACAAACAATAAGTCTTTCATTTTATTGCGCTAAAGTTGATAATTTGTGTCATTCAACATAATCATATTGCTCGTATTAATCTTCATAATTATCTAACACAATAATCAAACTCTGATACCAAGTTGTTGAGGAAGAAACCAAACAATCGAACACAAGCAGAAACACAACCAATGTTCTTTATCTCCCTATAACTCCTATAAAAGATTATGGCAAGCACAATAGCACAAAAGATGCTATCTAACAACTTTAATCAACCACAAATCAACCAATGCAACCACAACAAAAATAAATAGAGACACTGATATTCTTACGTGAAAAACCCTGTAAATCAAGGGTAAGAACCATGGGACCTTAGAGCCCGATAAAAAACTTCACTATCATCAAATGTTCAACTACAAGATCACAATATCAAGTCTATAACAAGCATTCAACTACAACAAGGCTAATAACATGTAATCTTTAGCAAAAGAGAGAAAAATGAAAAATCACAAAAAATGCAACCTGTTGTAAAATAGGTACTTTTGACGCTACAAGACTCAGATGAAAAATATGACCGTACAAAGTCAATAACACTTTTCGCCTAGCTGCTATCCAAAAATCAGCTCAAGAGAACCACAAATTGACCTTCGATCAAAGAGTTGATCACTGTTGTGCATAGATTGAAAAAATTATTTTCTCCCTTTTTTCTTCTTCTCGAATATAAGGTCCTCTTTCAAAAATCAAATCTGATTTTTTGATGCTATATTATGGCTACTAACTTCTACAGTGCGACACCTTTAATATACGGCTAAAAAAACCGTTACTGGTTAACCGGTAAAAAAATAACTAAAACATTATTAATTATACCTAAAACATCAATATTTTTTAACATTTCCGGTAAAATGTTCAACAATAACAAAACTGATAAAAAAAATAACAAAACCGGTAGCGATTTATTAGATATATTACTAAACTCGATAAAACGTCCAATAAAAACAAAATCAATAGAAATAATAATGCTTCTAATAATTTTTTACTAATTTTATTATTTAAATAATAACAAAACAGTAATATTTTTTTTAATCGTATATTAAAATTTTCTCACGTGATTATTTCCGCTTATCACACACTCTATCCCAGAGCAAAAGGAAAAACTTTTTACGAAGTCAAGGGAAACATTAAATGTGGCAACTTTTTTGTACCAAACAAAAGGAAAAATAAGCAACCTTTAAATATACAACAATAATTACCCACATAGTGAAACCCACACCTAATAATAATTACCCACAGTTATAATCAAATCAATTATACAACAACTATTTAAACATGTCTTAAACGAATAGATTTAAATAATATAAAATAATAATAAATCTAAAAAGAATCTCACAAAACAAAATTTAAAATACATAAAATCTGAAAATAAATAGGATAAAGTGACAGCATGTCTCGAAAAAAAATAGGGCTTATTTTATTGATTGACATAGGACTCTTGTCTTTGGGGTTATTGACTGAGTTTTCCACAATTATCTTGAAAATTCTATCCATTAAGAATAACAGTAGGTTAAATATATTTTTTAATTAATTGAATTTGAATATGTACATTTACTTAAAATTAAAATCTATTTTATAATATATTATTTTTGAATAATAATAATATCCATTATTTTTAATTAAATTTTCTTTTACGTAGTTGGCTAATTCCTTGTGTTGTTTATGCGATCAACAGTATCATATTCTTTAAGAGCTTATATATATTTCAGTTTTGAAATTTTTATTGCTTTGAGTCATCCTTTTTTATTCTTGTACGTATAATTCCAAGGCAAATTAATTTGCTACCAAAAATGTCAATTTATGTAAACGTGAGAAGACTTTCAAGTCTTCTTTGATGAGACAAATCACTCTAATTGCATCAAAACAAACGCGTATTAGGGTTCATCCACTCACTTTCCCACCATTGTTTTAGATTTTTTAAGGGAAGGGATGGATATTATAAAAATCTTTGTAGATATATATTAAAGTCTATTTAAATTGTTTTTTATTAGTTTTATTTGTTTGCATCTATTTTATTTATTTTAAAAGGTTAATACATTTTGACGAAGAGTTAAAATATTTCATTGGAAGAATTATCTAAAATTTAATAAGTATATTAACACAAACCAGATAATTCCTGCAGAATACCTTGCAATAGTTCCCTCAAACCCAGCCGAGTATGATCAATTGGGCTCATAAGCCCTTATTGGTCTCCCTTCGTCGTATGCTACAGTTTTATTGAACCAAATGAGACCAAGACAAAGCACTCCATTGTCAAAGAGCGTGCGTAACCAATACGGAAACGTGTCAATCAAACTGTTGTTTCCCAAATCTAAAATTTTTAACTTTTTGCAGTTCGTCAAAGAGCGTGGAATTGACCCTTCAAGTTGGTTGCCATTGAGGTTAAGACTTCTCAATATGCCACCTTCAATGTATATTGGTGGGATTTCGCCAATAAAGTTATTCATTTCCACAGCTGAGAGATAACTGGAATTCCCAAGACAGCCAACTTATTCTTGGACAAGTTGATTGCGGTAAGAGAACTGAAATTGCAAATCGTAGAAGGGATTTCTCCAACCAAAACATTGTCTGAGATGAAGAAATGAAGTAGATTCGATTGAAGGTCGAGAGTCGAAGGATGCTTCCCGTGAACTTGGTCTACCACCAGTCATGAAGTTCATAAGAAAGGTTCAAGGTGATCAGGCTAATAGAAATGTTGATAGATGAAATGTTATTGGAGTAGGGGGAAAAACATACCTTTAAAATCCTTTGTACATTGTTGAATTAAAAATACTTTTTGAAATGTGTCCGGAAAACTGGTTTGCCGATAGCTGTAAAAATCGAAGGTTGTAGCATTTACCTATACTTGATGGAATATTACCATATAATTCATTCGCAGTGGAGTGAAGCGTTTCAAGCTTGGGTAGATGGTGACATAGATCATCAGGCAAACTATCTGATAAATTATTGTTGGATAAAATAATATCCTCCAGAGAAGACATATTGAAGATAGAACTCGGAATTGGACCTGAAAGACCAACAATTGCTTGAATATTTAACATCTCCACGTTAAGGAAATTTCATAGTTGAAAAATCAGTTTAGACAGTTTGGAAAAGTGATTTTCACCCGATAATTAATGCTAAACACTCAAAAATTGATTTAAAATCATTATTGGAAAAAGCTCAAATTTCTAGCTTAAACGGTAGAAAGTCACTTTTTGGTGAAATTATATTTTTTCCTCAAATATTATATTTTAATAATAATTTCAAACAAATAAATTTTAAAGTGCATTTTAAAAAAATACTTTTAAAAGTATTTTTAAGGCACTCTCAAAATCTTTCTTCAAAAGTAATACTAAACTTAGCGTTAGTTTCTTTTGGTATCCATTATGAACCAAAATTCAAGAAACTAAAATGTTAATGTATTAAAAACTAATGAAAAATCTGTACCTTGTAGGTTATTAGCCCTCAAAATTAATACTTCGAGTCGTGTTAACTTTCCGATGCTTCTTGGAATGATCCCACCGAATGTATTGTTAAACAGTACTAAAATTTGAAGGCTATTGCATTTGGCTATATTTGGTGTGCGGAGGGATATTACCCGTAAGATCCATGTTTGAAAGATTCAAAGCAGTAACTCTTTCATGGATGACACCATAAGAAACACCAACCCATTCGCAAACTGAGCTGGACGACGTCCAATTGTTTGTCAATGCATTTTGGGGATCGACGATTTGATCTTTGAATTGCACAAGTGCAATTTGATCGGTGGTGAGATTCTTGGCTGTCATAGCTAAGCAAAGTATGAGACATTGCGACGATAAAACAAGAAGAAGAAGAAGAAAGCAAGTGGTGATGTTCATGATTTTGAGCTGGATGACCAAGAAAAGCCCAGAGAACATGGTTAAATAGGTTTCAAGCCTTTGCACAATTATCCAACGTTGAATTTACTGCCATTACAACTTTAATCGATACATATATATATATACATTCTGATTGACATTTATTGTTAATTTAATCGATTTGACGATGCAAAACTGTTTGCTTTCTTATATATATATCAGTTACACGAGATAAAATTGGTTAGTTTTACAATGATTTAAAATTATTGAATGAATTTAAATTGGTAATTGAAATTTAAAAAATTGAAAATAAATATTTTTTAAGAGAAAAAAAAGTGAATATATATATATATGAAAAATTCTATTTCTTTGATATAATTTAAAGAGAAGTTAATTTGCTACCAAAAACGTCAATTTATGTAAACGTGAATAAAAGATCAGAAATGCCTTTCTTACATATCATTAGAAAATGCATTACCGTAAATACAACAATAAGAAGAGGTAATGCAAGAATGGTAAACTATAAAAACGGGTCAAAGTGAATTGTCTCACACTAACACTTCCACGCAATAAGGTGACTCTATTACCGGAGTAACTTCCAAAACGCTTATTACGATTTTAACTGCTCAATAATCAATTTGGTCCCGAGGTCAGGAATAACTTGTTACCCAAAAGATGCAGTCAACTGTAACCCAAGTTAATTCGCAAGGTTTTGTTAAAATCATCAGTGACAGAGACGAAATACATGTAAGATCATCATACTTGCCGACCATCGATAAACTGATCGGATGAATCAACCAAAATTAACTACAGTTATTATGTATTGAACAGAAGCAAAAACCTCAATAACGATTAGACGATAGTAAAAAATCATAGCAAATATTGTATCTACTTGTACTAGAAGTGAGCAAAATTCAACTCAACTCGAATTGACTTCGAGTTGTAATTTCATAAACTCGACTCAACTCGAAAAAATTTCAAGTTCAAATAGAGTTGTGAAATACAACTCGAATAACTTGAATAGGAACTCAAAATTTTTAGTAGTTAATAGATTGATTTTCAAATTTGAGTCGAATCCCTCGACTCTGTATGATATATGTATATTACATATAAAAAAATATGAAGCAATATATATATATATATATATATATATATATGGAATCAAATAATATTATAATACTATAAATATTTACAATTAAATTTAAACAAAAACTCGAAATTTGACTCGACTCTAATTTTATAAATTTGACTCAAAAATTTTTAAGTCAATTTTGAGTTATAAAATATGACTCGTCAACTTAAATAATTCAATATTTTTTTACTCAACTCAATTTAATCGAACGCTCACTCCTAAGTTATACCAAAAAAACAAGTAAGCTAATTCCTCCTAGACAAGCAAAGCTTCAGTAACGCCAAGTCTTCTTTGATTGTATGAAGACAAACGGTACGTTTATTGACCAAGTTTTCCACAACTGACTTGGAAATTCTATTCCATTAGGAATAACATTAGGTTAAATATCTTGTTTTTTGAATTAGTTCAATTTGACTATATAAATTTACTTAAATTAAAATATATTACTTTTAATTAATAATATGCATAATTTTTAATTAGAACTATTGTTTTTACTTGCTTTGCTGATTCCTTGTCTTGTTTATGCCATCAACAATATCATATTCCTTAAGAGCTTATACATATTTTTCAGTTTTGAAATTTCTATTGCTTTGAGTCATCCTTTTTGTTCTTCTACATATAATTCCAAGGCAAATTAATTTGTTTTATGTCAAGTCTTTTTTGATGAGACAAATCACTCTAATTGTATCAAAACAACCGTGTATTAGGGGTTATCCTCTCGCTTTTCCACCATTGCTTTAGATTTTTTCTTCAAGGGAAGAGATATCTATTAAAAGTCTATTTAAATTCATTTTTATTAATTTTATTTGCTTACATATATTTTAAAAGGTTTAATATATTATTTGATACCTAAATTTATCACTTTTTGTAATTTTGGTATTTATATTTTTTAAATTAATTTGATATCTATATTTATTGAACGTTACACATTTGATACCAGAATGTATCACTTTGATATATGTGTTTTCCTTTTAAGCAATTTGATATCTATATTTGTCAAATATTACACATTTGATACCATGTATTTATTAAATAAATATTTAAATGTGTCATGACGACTTTTTTCTCGAAGCGTAAATTCGGAGTAAATTTTGAAAAAAATCAGGATTGAAAGTCGAAATTTTAGAATAGATTTGAAATGTTTGGAGTCGCCATCGACCTTTGAGATTATGTAGGTCAAAAACTCGAGAAACACCCTTTAAAATAAAAAAAATAAAAAAAGACGTAATTCGGTATGCATTTTAGAGATTTTGAGTTCAAAGTCGATTACGCTTGAGGAAGGATTAGCACCCCCACAACGCCAAAAAATTGGTACCTTCAATTATAAATTTGTCCCTATATTGAAAATTAAGAAATTAGAATATTTATTTAATCAATGATCCTTTTATTCCCTAAAAATAAAGATTATTTAACTTAATTAAATATTATAGAGAGACGCACAATATTTGTGTATTTCCAATTAAAGAATAAACTAACCCACTAATCGGAATTAAGGCGATTATTTCTTATGTTTTAATCAAAATAATGAAATATTTTTGTTGAGTCAATCGATAGGATGAATTAGCCAAAAGGGGGGTGAATTGACAATTAAAAATTTTGGTGGAAGCTTGACAGAAAATAAAAATGATTTGCACAACGATTTAGAGTGGTTCGACTTTCTCAACCAAAGTCTACGTCCACTACCTTAGCTATCCACACTAATGATTTCCACAAATTCACTAATTTGTCTTTCTTTTGAGGACAAAGAGTAACCTTACAACTCTCTCAAGAATTATACCCCAAATTCTTGAGACACTCTCTCTCAAAGAGAAAATTACAAATTTTGCAAACTTAAGGAAACCTCACAAGGAAAGATGTTTGCACAATTCTAGAACAGAAAGAACACTTCAAGAAATAAATACAAATGAGCACAAATTGTGTTCTTTTGGAAAGTAAAATGAATATAGATGAATGTTGGCTTGATCTTGCTCAAACTTGAAGTTTAAGGCTTTCTCAATTGTTTCTCTTGTATATCTCTTAGTTACCAATGGCTTCAAAGCTTGTTTAAATACTCCTCAGATGATTTCTAAACGTTGGAGATGTTGTGGGAGTCAATCGAGCATTTGGGATGTGTTTTCCACTCAAAATAGCTGTTGAGAGCGTCTTGGTATCGATACTGCACTAAGGGGTATCGATACTACCTGTTATAAATTCAAATATTTTGACCGTTGCAGGCCAGTGGTATCGATACCGAAACATGGTATCGGTACCATTTTTGCATTCTATAAAAATTCGGAGTCAAAACCAAAGGAGTAGTATCGGTACCGTGTTTATGGTACGATACTACTATAAGGCATGATATCGATACTACTGAGGCAGTATCGGTACTACCTCTTTGAAAATCCATTTTTGACCCGATTCAAGTTCAAAAACACTTTGTGTAACACCCCCAACCCGTATCCGACCCGAATCCGAGTTCGAGGTGTCATATCAACTTTTAAAACTTTTACTTATTTAAAAGAATGAAAATATCTCGTAAAAAACTTCATATTATTTCATATCCTCGTCAACCTTAATCTTAAAACTTTATAATCTATTCGTTCATAATCCTCGTCATAATCTATTTGTTCATAATCCTCGTCATAATCTATTCGTTCATAATATTCGTCACCCTTAATCTTAAAACTACATCTTTTATTTTTCTTATCCGCTTATCCTTCATAATCAAATCTGCTTATAACATACCTAAATCATATATTTTGTCCACACTCTCATACTCTTTAATCTCGCTTATAATTATCCATGATCACCTATCTTTATCATATTCACACAATTCTGATAGTCAACACTTCTTGCACAAATTTTCTTCTAACATACGAATCCTTACCTTCTTTACTCTTCAATTCTTCTTATCATATAGATCATATCTTTTCTTCCTGTTCCACACTCTTTTATACTCATTTCTCAAACTTTTCTATTACTCTTTATCTTCTCTTGTACATTCAAATCCTTATCTCCTTCACCACATCCCATTATATAACTAAAATATACATTGTATTTGAATCCACTTCATATTTGGTTATCATAGCCTGAAAATATCTTATAATTCCAATACATTTCCCTCACATAATTTGTTTTTTGCCATTGCTAACTCTTTCAATCTATAATGCAAATCCCTTATCATATCCATACTCTTGCTTATACACAATACTATTTATATGTCTACTATTCTTTTTTACATATCACCTCTTTAATAAATCTTTCGTGCTATCATAGACTTCACTTCATTACTTTAATTCTTTCATTACCTTTTCCCCTATGCTTTTACATTCCTTTCATATCATTTATACTTTTTCATTCTTTATCCTTTTAACTTTTATATCAATCCTTAGTTTCCGTCAAACATACAAATCATTTAACCTTAATACATTCACTATCACACTTCTTTATTATTCAACTTATTTCTTTCAATCCAAACATAAACCTTTATCAAACTATCCATATATATATATTCTTTCTAGTCGAAATAATTCATTCACTATTTCCATCACTTATCAAATCTTCATTCTCATTCGTCCATAATACAATTTCTTTGGTTCGAATTCAATCATTCCATTTACCTTTGCTTTATAACTGATCACTGATATACATATTCTTAAACTCTTCCTTGATCTTTTAATATTCTCCAATTAACATCGATCTCTTCCATTTTATCTTGTCCATGTTATAAAGAAACTATTCTATTTCAGAACGATAAAGTTCCTTTAATACTATAATTTCCAATCCATCTGAATTGATTGACTTTATTCTCTGGCGGAGAATACAACTAATTCATATATGGTTTAAAGTTGAAAACCAGAATCTCTACCTTTATTTGATGGTGCTTAACTTTATGAACCACTAATTCTCTTAATCATCTGTTATTTTTGTTCTCCAATCCTTTCATTTT